CCGTCGCCGACCTCCCTAGTGCCAGCTGGAGAGGATTTGGCGCCAGTCGCGATAGGGTCCTCCGCAGTTGCAGACGAGGCGGTCGGTGCACCTTGCTGCGCTTCCACAGTGGAAGCTGCTGCCGCTGAGAGTAGTTTCTCCCGCATAACCTCAATTTTAGGGTCCGGTATCACGAGCGTGGCGAGAATTTTGCGGTCCAGCCCAGCGTTTTTGTCTGACGCCACCTTCGCTGCGCATGGGTCGGGGAGAAGCAGACGTACCATTTGCTGCAGGTCGGGGAGGGTGCTCGCGCACCCACTGTGCAAGAGTGCCTAAGAGGAGCACCTCCATGAGATCCTCTCCGAACTCGCCAGCCATGTGGCATCGCCAAACATCACCCTCATGTGCCTCCAAGCTTTCCTCTTCTCTGCTAGCCTCTGCTAGGGTAGGTGGTATGGTCTGCATGGGCTGCCAGCCTAACAACGACTTAGGTAAGTGGTAAGTCAGCTACTTATCTGAAGGTCGCGGGTTTGATCCACTCTCAACGCACCATGCAGAGAGTCACTCAACACCAGGAGCTAGACTTAGGAGAAAGAACGGGTGGTATGAGTGATCATAGCATTTGTTCGTGTTCTCTAGCACTTGTGCATTCACAGGCCACAAACATCAAGAGTTTTACTAGCAAAAGTTGAGAACAAGGATGGGAATTGCAATGGCCACAATGATGTGTGCCTGATGAGCCATGTCGACCACACGCTGTCACATTAATCGACTTCGCCACAACAATCTTGATGATCACACACCTCCACGGAACCTCGTCGACTAGGTAACTCGGTCGTCCGGGTAAACCCGCAAACTGGTGCACATGTTAGTCGACTGTGCAGGTCGACACCACCCAAAGACCTTTACCAAGTTGATGTCCCCGCAGGTTGACGAATCCCCTCGTCGACCACGCAAGTTGAAGTTGGCCACCGACTTCGTGGTCGGGTGTAGGGGTGCAGCCAACCTGCAGCAGTGGGCGAGCTGGTCGACGAGGAAGTCGACCTGCACGGGTGCCACTGCATGGGCGCCGACTTCAGGATGGCGCCGACTTCAGGAAGGTTGACCTAGGAAGTCGACCTTCGGAGGGCGTCGACTTGGTGACGCCAACTTGGGGCAGCCGACTTGGGTGGTCGGCTGACAAGACTGCTGGTCGACCTGGTGGTTGGTCGACCAGGCCTGCTGGTCGACTTGGTGGCTGGTCGACCAGGCGTGATGTCGACCTGGTGATCAACCGAACATGGTGGTCGATGAAGGAGGGGCCGACGTCGACCTCGACAGAGGGATTCAGGACGCCGAACAGATGGGCGTTGAGTAGCGGGGCGTCAACTTGGTGACGCCGACTTCGGGTAGCCGACTTCGGTGGTCGGCCGACAACTACGCTGGTCGACATGGAGCTGGTCGACCAGAAGTGACGTCGACCTGGGGCTGGTCGACCAGGGGCGTGGTCGACCTGGTAAGGTCGACTTGGGGTGGTCGTCGACTTGGGAGGTCGACAGGCACGCACAGGAGCAGCTGGTCGACGTGGTTGCCCGGTCGACCAGGTTACCTAGGTGACGAGGTTCTGCGGAGGAGTGCGACGGTCGCCCAGGCGATGTTGGCGAGGACGACCTTGGTGGTGGTATCCCGAGGTCGACGTGGCTGATTAGAAGCAACCGTCAGCACAAAGTTGACTTGGTGTGTGCGCTGTGCAGGTGACGAGGCACTGCACGCCAATCATCTGCGAGCACCTGCGAAGCAGGTGCGCTGCTGTCCTGCGGGAGCAACGTTGGCACGCCGTCAACCTGCGACGTTGGCACGCCGTCGACTTGCAGCGTTGGCAAGCCGCGACTCTGCACTGCTGGAGCGCGGTCGACCAAGTCGTGCTGGCACGCGAACGACTGTGCTGCGCTAGCAGTAGACTTGTTTGCATGCTAGCTCTGATGTAGTCTAGTCTTGCCAACTTCATTGTACCATTATTGTCGGCTTTTCTTAGTGAAACTCTTGTCAAATTGCCCCGTGAACTAGCAAGCAGTGTGTGCACTAGGAAAACGACCAAGGACCAACGAACGCAGAGATCACACGAGCACCCGTGCCTAACCCGTAGTCTAGCTCCCGTTGTAGTAGTTATCTCCGCACCGTACAATCGGCCAAATTCGTCGACTTGCACGCCCTAGTCAGCGATGTCCCGCCGGCTACACATTCCGCGCACCTGGCTGCAAGGTCAGCTTCGCCAAGTGAGGGTGAGGCCATTTACCGTCAACACTCCCCTGCCGCGCTCACGCTTGGGCACCCCACCCAAGGTCCACCTAGAGCCTAAGGGATAGAATATACGGGGAAACTTCATCGTCGGCATGCACCTAACACACAGCACGTTCGTTCACTGAAACAACCATGAAAAAAGGCATGGCGCCTACTGCTGCACGTCATCATCACCGTCGTCGACGTTGGCCAAGCACACTTCGCTGATCGTGACAGAGCACCAGTTGAAGGCCGAAAAGTGCAGCGCCTTTGTTAGGAAGTCGGCCGGCTGCTTGGTTGTAAGCACCTACCAAGGCTACCTACCCGCACTTCACCATTTGCTGCAGCTAGGCGTAGCGTCGCTCCATATGCTTGAGGTTGCCTTTCAGGCCAAAGCCCTCAGTGACCATAATTGCCGAGTGGTTGTCCACGTGCAACACAGTTGGCTTCCCAGCGTTGAGAAGTTAGAACAAGGCAAGGAGGAAGCGAAGTCGGCGTCCCTCCTTGCCAGCTTCGGTATATGTGTGTGCCCGGCATCTCTCTGAAATGTTCCATTCCCGTCATAAATTGGGCAGCGCCATCACTAATTGCGTCAAGTGTCACCCCACGTGGTCGTGATGTGATGGTGTTCTGGACGAGATGACGATCGGCTCATCCGATTGTGCGGGTGTTGGTGCTGGTGCATTTGCCGATGATTGCTGTCGCGTGGAGTTGCGTTCCACCATGAGCGTCGCGATTTCGAGCGCCGATTCTTGTAGCTGGCGCACGAGTTTGTCGACGCGTGCCTGTGTGAGGCCTTCCAGTGAATGCGGGTGCTTTCGTCCATGGCGGGGGTGTCGGGCTAGCTCAGCGAGAGCCTCAGTCGTGGCTGAGTGTGCTTATGTGAGAGCACACGAGCAACGGTGCTTGGTCGCTGAGGGACGCCTACCCCCTCCAAACATTGAGATAATGTGGGAAGCGAAGGTGTGGGCGCGGTCTGAAAAAGGTCGTGGCTCTAGATACCAAGTGTTATGAATGCAATTGAGTGAGCAAGTGAGAATTGCACTATCGAAGTAAAACAGAACATCGAGTGAGGGAATGAGCGAAAATTATATAGCAAAGCTAGCGTGGTAACGGTAACGCAGGAAATCGGGGCGTGTTACGGGCCTAGCGCCGAGGTTGGAATTTGCTGAGGCGGAGGACCGAAGCACGGGTTACCAACCGAGCTGTAAGGTTGTATCGCGATGTGAACAACGGCGGGAGTAGTAGGCGAGGCGAGTGTCGCAAGTGGTAACGGTGCATTGTTAGGTACTGTTGGCGGGAACCAGGGCTGGCGTTTCGATTTGACCCGCCCTGGATCCTAAACACTTTTTTTTTGTCTTATGGTACTTAGGCCAAAATTTGGCCACTCTGATTGTTCAGTGACTTGAAGATTCGTTGTCTGATCATTCAGTGTTGGCGATTCAATTTCAGGGTTCAATTTTATGTTTACACGTAGACTGAAAAAAATGCAAGTGGCACAAACTTGCGCGACCTTGCACGACCTTGCCACGCTGCTGAGCTGGCAGCAGGCAGCGTGCGAGAACCTGGCAAAGGTGGCTGCGTTGCGCATAATGTTCAAATAAATTTCCTGCCCGTGCTAACGTAAGTGCCTCCCCTGCTCGGACCGATATGTCTTTCAGACGTGAAATGTTTGACCTGAATGATCAAACATAATATTAAGTGTACTTGGATGTCCCCCACCTCGAGCTGTTTGCTTTTCACACGTTCTGGCACTCTACTGCCACATCGGATATGTATTTCGAAATGAAATTTTGTGGAACCTTCGTCCCAATGAATTCGCACTCAGGGCCAACAGAATTGATACTCGACTAAGACATGGTTCACTAAGAGATAAGTCTAATATACTATACGCAAGAACAGGGATGAAAAAAACTACTACTCTAAAGCACCCAGGGTTCGAAAATCACTTAATCTGAAAAGTCAGGGGACAGCAAGTCATAGGTTTGATTTATCAGACTAATTATACTATTCAGTTGGGTAAGTGTTACGAGTGCAATGGAACGAGATAGCAAGGATTGCACTAGGTGTCAAACGAGTACAAAGTATGAGCGAAGGCATGAGCGAATACTTATGTGCGAACATGCAAACGGTAACACGGTGTGTGCGAGCTAGCTAGTGCTAGGCTGGCATCAGGGTTTGGGCTAGTCCCGAAGCGTAGGCCGACTCGGCCGGGCCAGCGGTGCATGGTTTGGTGAAACAGTGCACGCGAAGTTGGCGAATGCAAACGGGTGAATAATGGCTGCTGCTGTACACGATGTTGAAGAGCGCAGTAAGGAATGTTGAAAATTTTTACACGAGTGCGTGTATATCGCAGAAACCTTGGCTCCTCAAACACGCTGGTAGGGCAGGGTGGTTTTCAATGTTGGCCAGGGGCACCCAGTTGTCTTCAGATGGCGTGCGGTCCTTCCAACGAACGAGGAATTCTATCCTCTTGATGCCTGTAGGATGGAAAATCTGATGGCTCAATTTTTTTTCGGGCTCAACAATCGGCTCCGATGCAGGGCGAGTCATGGATGGCGGGCGATGGCGCGGCAGTTGGGTTGTGGTTGGGATGTACGGGCGAAGCAGGCTGGCGTGGAAAGATCGACTGATGTACCAGTCGGTCGGTAATAGTAGACGGGCGGTAACTGGGTTGATCATGTGGCTGATTTGGAACAGTCCGTAGTAACGTGGTCGCAGTTTCGGTACGACGGGCAGTCTTAAGTTCTGCGTATCGAGCATTACTTAATTCCCTGACCGGTATGTTTCCGGGCGGCGATGGCGGTCAGCGTTTCTCTTTGCGATGATATTGGCTTTTTTTTTTTTGTTTGTTTGTTTTGTTGTTGTTGTTGTTGTTGTTGTTGTTGTTGTTGTTGTTGTTGTTGTTGTTGTTGTTGTTGTTGTTGTTGTTGTTGTTGTTGTTGTTGTTGTTGTTGTTGTTGTTGTTGTTGTTGTTGTTGTTGTTGTTGTTGTTGTTGTTGTTTTGTTTTTTTTTTTTTTGTTTTTTTTTTTTTTTGCGTCTGCTGCTCGTGTTCGGGCAGCTTGCAGAATCTCGACAAAATGTTATGCATGTGACGTTGGGTTGTCCGGACTCGACGTCATGGGCACTGTTGGGGTTTGCTCGTAGTTCAGGTAGAAAGGGGACTGTTGTGTCGTCGCTGACGTGACGTTGTTGTAGGCATACTTGATCAGCGGCAGTTGCTACTCCCATGTTGTCGAGTCGACGCATGACAGCTGCTCCATGGTCTAATTCGTCCGCTCCGTTTGACCGTCCATCTCGGGGTAATACGACGAGCTCAACTGTAGCCTGGTCCCAAAATGCTCCTAAACGTTCTTCCAGAAGTTGCTTGTGAACTTCGTGTCGCGGTCGCTGATTATCGCAGCTGGTATCCCGTGTAGTCTAACGATGGTTGCGATGAACAGGCAAGCGGTTTCTTCGTATGAGATTGATTTCTTCTACGCAGCGAAGTGAGCCATTTTTGTCAGTCTGTCAACAATGACCATAACCGCGTCGTTTTCCCCAAGGCTCGAAGGTAAACCCTGTGATGAAATCCATGGTAACCTGCTGCCAGGCACATTTGGGTGGGAGAATCGGCTGCAGCTGATCCGCCTTTCTTTTCACGAGCTCTTCATCATCTGAAACGTAGGACATGACCCCACTTGGTTGTACGTCGGTCAACAACTTCAGCCAGTAGTAATATCGCTGCAGTTGCTGTCGCGTTTTTTTTTACCCCGAAATGACCCAAGGTAACCCTGTCGTGTGCCTCCTGTAGTAGAAGTTCCCTTAGTAGTGAGTAAGTGGGTACCCAGATGCGGTTGGTGCCTGTTTTTACGTAATAGATTCAGTTTGCTTCAGTCAGTTGCTGCGAATTTACGGTGGTGAAAAATGGGTTAGTGCGATGTCCGTGGGTGAATAGGCCTATTAAAAGTGGGTTGATCTGGGCGAGTAGATGGTGTGAAGCTGGGCAGTGGAACGGGTGAGTGCGCCGGTGATGTTTGATGCTCCTTTTTTGTACGTGACGGTGTAGTGGAATTTGGGCTCCAGATAGTCCAACCAGCGAATCTGTTGTGGATTGAAGTTTGGTTGGGCGCAAATGTACTGTAGGGATCTGCGGTCTGTCCGTACTGTCACGTCTGCTCTGGTGAGGTAGCATCTCCACACTTTGAATGCTGCACGATCGCCATCATTTTGTGGTCATGTATTGGATAGTTGCGTTCAGGCGGTTGAAGCTTGCGGGACTCATACGCAATTGGCTGAAGGTCGTTCCCGAAGTCCCGCTGCTTTGCCCGTCTGAGCGACGCCTGGCGTACCAAGCTTAGCGATGAGGCTGAGCTCCTCACCTGGCTAGATCTGCTTAGGCAGAGGGTAGATATCTTTGCTCTTGACTATGATGCTATTCTCACTGCCATGTATGCATTGCCTACTAGTACTGACGGTGCCTGTTACCTGTGCGTACCGCCTGACCCAGGTATAGACCCTGCTGCTCTAGGTGCTGGTGAGGCTGCTGCTCTAGGTGCTCGTGCGTCTTCTGCTCTAGGTGTTGGTGAGGCTGCTGCTCTAGGTGCTAGTGCGTCTCCTGCTCTAGGTGCTGGTGAGGCTGCTGCTTCAGGTGTTGGTGAGTCTGCTCTCTCTGGTACTACGCCTGCTGCGGTCTTGCACACCTTCACCCTTGACTCAGGAGCTTCCCGCTCCTTCTTTTGCGACTGCACCACACTCACGCCGCTTAGTCGGCCAGTTGCAGTCTCCCTGGCGGACCCCTCTGGGGGTCCCGTCCTTGCCCACTACTCCACGGTTCTGCCGTGTCCGGCCGCCCCGTCTGGCTCGCTGTCAGGTCTCTACCTCCCCTCGTTCTCTACGAACTTGGTGAGTGGAGCTGACCTCCAGGATGGCGGGGTTGACCAGTTCACTCCTGCGAGTCAGCGAGTGACTCACTGTACGTGTGCTTAGACGGGTCGACACCTGGCCACGTTTACCCGTGCGCCTGGCTCGAGTCTGTACACACTGACCACTGAGTCCCCTCAGGTAGCTGCGTCTGCGTCTGCGTCAGGTCCGCTAGCGGCCCCCTGCTCGTGTCGCGCTTTGTCGCACCAGACCCTCCTTTGGCACCACCACCTTGGTCACCCCTCGGTGCAGCGCCTTCGTAGCATGCACCGCCGTGTCCTTGTCTCTGGTCTTCCCAGGGTTCTCCCTCCCCTCCCACCCTCGCCCGCTCCTCCCTGTCTTCCCTGTGTCGAGGGGCGGCAGCGCACCGCTCCTCACTCCTCCTCGTTCCCTCCCACAGAGGCTCCCCTGCAGACTCTCCACATGGACGTGTGGGGCCCAGCCCGCGTCCGTGGACAGGGCCACGAGCGGTACTTCCTGCTGGTCGTCGACGACTACACGCGTTACACCACGGTCTTCCCCTTGCAGCGCAAGGGGGAGGTCCCTGATGTTTTGATCCCTTGGATCTGCGCTGTTCGTCTCCAGCTCCGCGAGCGGTTTGGGACGGAGTTTCCCGTCCTGCGTCTGCACTCTGACAGAGGTGGTGAGTTCTCCTCAGACCTCTTGGCAGCCTTCTGTGCGGAGCACGGCATCCGTCAGACGTTCACGCTTCCGGCCTCTCCGCAGCAGAATGGGGTTGCTGAGCGCCGCATTGGCTTAGTCATGGAGGTCGCTCGTACCTCCATGATCCATGCAGCTGCCCCCCATTTTCTGTGGCCGTTTGCGGTCAGGTACGCCGCGCATCAGCTCAACCTCTGGCCCAGTGTCTCCTTACCGGAGACATCGCCCACGCTGCTGTGGACGGGGAAGGTTGGCGATGCGTCGCGTTTCCGGGTCTGGGGTGCTTGTGCCTTTGTCCGCGATACCACCGCGGACAAGCTCTCCGCCCGCGCTGTTCCCTGTGTCTTCCTTGGCTTTGTCCCTGACGCGCCTGGTTGGCAGTTTTACCACCCCACCTCGCGCCGTGTCTTCCCCTCTCAGGACGTCACGTTCGACGAGTCGGTTCCCTTTTACCGTCTCTTCCCCTACCGCACTACCCCTCTCCCCCCCTCGCCGCTCTTCCTCGCTCCAGGTGCTCCCCAGGTAGACCCCCTCCCCGCTCCTGGTCCTGCTCCTTCAGGTGTGTCTCAGGTTGACCCTCCTCCCTTGACTGCGCCGGTTGAGGTCACTGGTGACTCAGGTCCTGCTGAGGGTGGTCCTGCTCGGGGTGCTACTTCTGGGGGTGCTGAGCCTGGGGGTGCTGGGCCTGGGGGTGCGGAGCCTGGGGGTGCTAAGCCTGGGGGTGCTGAGCCTGGGGGTGCTGAGCCTGGGGGTGCGGAGCCTGGGGGTGCTGAGCCTGGGGGTGCGGAGCTTGAGGGTGTCGAGCCTGGAGGTGCTGAGCCTGAGTGTGAAGAGTCTAGGGGTGCTGAGCCTGGGGGTACTGAGTCTGGGGGTGCTGCACCTGGGGGCGCTGAGGCGTCTGGTGAGCAGTCTCCCTGGAGTGGCCGTCTCCGTAGTCGCTCCGCTGGTGTCTCGCCGCTGCACTCTCATCGTCTCCTCCCTCTCTCCCCACAGCAGCTGCGTGAGTGGTACGTTGGCCGTCAGGGTCGCGCTGCTGGAGCTAGGGGCCCTGCTGCTGGAGGCGCTGGAGCTTGTGACTCTGCTACTGGAGTTGTTTCTGCTGGAGGTTCTGGAGCTGCTGGAGGTGCTGGCGCTGGTGGCGCTGGAGCTGGAGCTTCTCGAGCTGTTGAGGGTGCTGGCGCTGGAGGTTCTGGAGCTGCTGGAGGTGCTGGCGCTGGTGGCGCTGGAGCTGGAGGTTCTGGAGCTGCTGAGGGTGCTGGCGCTGGAGGTTCTGGAGCTGCTGGAGGTGCTGGCGCTGGTGGCGCTGGAGCTGGAGGTTCTGGAGCTGCTGAGGGTGCTGGCGCTGGAGGTTCTGGAGCTGCTACGGGTGCTGGCGCTGGAGGTTCTGGAGCTGCTGCGGGTGCTGGCGCTGAGGGTTCTGAGTCTGCTGTTGCGCGGTCTCCTTGGAGCAGCCGCCTTCGTCCGCGTGTGCCTCTCACGTCACAGCATCTCTACGACTGGTACGGTCGCCGTCAGGGTCGCGCTTCTGGAGCTCGGAGTTCTGCCGCTGGAGGTGCTGCTGCTGACGTTGCTGGAGCTGGGAGTGGTACTGGTCCTTTGTCTACTGGAGGTGCTGGAGTTGCTGGTCCCGGAGGTGCTCGTACTGGAGGTACTGGAGCTGCTGGGGCTGGAGGTGCTGAGCCTGCGGGTGCTACTGCTGGAGACACTGAGGCTGGAGACCCTGGGTCTGGGGGTGCTGCTGCTGGTGGAGCTGGTCCTGGAGGTGCTGGCGCTGGGAGTTCTGGAGCTGCTGGAGGTACTGGAGCTGCTGGTGCTGGTGGCACTGCACCCCCGCGACTGTTCTTCGCTCCACCGTCTCCGTCGTCTCAGCCACCGCCTGACTCTGTACTTTGTCAGGTTCTCAGCCTCTCGTCTTCTACTGGTCTTTCGTTACAGCCTGGCTCACCGCTGCCTGCTCCTTCCCCTTACACTGAGCAGGCAGGAGGTCTTGCTGAGCGTCGTGAGCCTGCATCGCGTCCTGTCTCGCCTGTTCGTTCTGGTCGTACCAGTCGTCGTGTTCCTCGTCCACGTTCACCGGCTGTCCCAGGCGCGCACCTCATCGTCCGTCGTCCTTTCTCTGTTCCGCAGTCTGTTCCTTTGCCGTCTCCTCCTGCGTCCTCTCTCCCTTGATGACGTTGCGGACCCTGCGTCTGACCGGTTTCGTACTGAGCACCCTACAGTCACGCGTCTGTTAGCCACTGTTGTCACTGACCCGTCGTTTGAGTCTACTGCTGCGTTTGCCTTAGTCGCTGAGCTTGTCGACTTTGCTGCTGCCTGTCGTCTAGACTACGCTGCCAGTCTAGTTGCTGAGTCTGAGTCTGTCTGTCCTCCGTCCGTCAGGGGTGAGTGTGCTCTTGGCACGGACGTCCTTGAGGACAGACAGGAGGACCTTGAGTGTCTTGCGGCCGCTGCGCCTCATCTCGTGGCCATGCTGCTTGCCCCTGAGGGAGACCCGGATGCTATAGACATCCCGACCCCGCGCTCTTACGC